GAATGGTTAGCAGCGATGCGAACCGGCACGAACCACAATCAGCTTAGAAGGACAACCTCAAGGAATGACTGACCGTCTCAGCCAACGACAAGATACTACTGGTAACATGGCGCCAACACATGCACATGGATATCCACCATTTCAGCCAGTCTATGGCTCCAATGAGTTTGAACCAGGCCGGCAATATGCGATGCTACCAGACAGCAAGAACTGTGCCCAACCGCCTTCAATGTCATATTTGAATACAGAAAGAGGAACAGTCAGTGGTCCTCAAAACCCAACCGCTACTTTGACAAATTTTGGAGCGCAGATGGCCCAATCGAACAAGGAGCAGGATATCGAGAGGCATCCAGAAAGTGTTGATTTGACTGCACATGTAAGAAGAGATCAAAAGAATTTCTCGCTGAAAACTACGACACCAGCTGTTACAACTACAGCCTTCCCAACTGTTATGCCAACACAGTTTCCTGCATGGAATTTGCAAACGCAAGTTCATCCACCTGCTATGCCAACACAGTTTCCTCCACGGAATATGCCAACACAGATTCATTCACAGGCTATGCCAGCACAGTTTCATCCACGGAATATGCCAGGGCCAGCTCCTCTATTTACCGCCAAAGGACCTGTTACAAACAAGAGACTCCGATATTTACAGACTGAAAAGATGGAACCACGCAAGGTGCAGAAGAATGCCAATGGGGCGGGCAAAGGAAGACGAAGAGGAGGCCAAGATACTCCTGTTATACAACCGGTGGTCGAACCAATGGTCGCAACAATGGTCGATCTAATGTCCCGATCGACCGCCGCAAAATTTGCTGGGCACGGATACGATATCAATGTCTCGAATCTGGCACCAGGGAATTCGTCAATAGATATACAAACTATTCCAGAAGAAGATCGGGAACTTTTTGAGATTCTCAATATCGAGTTAGGTGAACTTCAGCCCACTGGAGACTTCGTGGTGGCTGTTATGGGGGAACTGTTGGAAAATTCCATCGCTCATTTTTCATCGAATATTTCCTCGATACACGACGAAATCCTGAATACTATCAAAAAAATGCCTAATCTAGGCCTATCACGTTGGCAACTTGACAAAATTCGCTCCGAGATCGCAATTCGTCAACCCACCCAGTAGTAGAAGGTCCATCCAAAAGCAAAAAAAAAGCTTGAGACGGACCCAACGTCTATCATATTATACGAACCAATCAAAGGTTCCTTCTATGGAAGGTCTATGATGGGCAATTGTACAATGTATACGAGGACGATCTTTGATGATGTTAATCGTCCACTTAGATACGCAGTCGGATTCAAAATTGAAAATGTGATGATCGATGGTAGGAATGCTCAAGGCATGCTGACTTATGAGAGAGCCTTGCCAACAGATATACAAGGAGAGCCCTGTTGGTCCGATATTTGCGATTTACTACAATCACAACTTGCGGAGTGGGCTTATGCCTCGCTTGATTATAATTAAAAGGGGTTTTTTGGGGTTCGTTGGACCTATCAAGGGTGGGCATTGGAATATATGGATTTCAAGGATTGAAATAGAAAGTGGCCGAAGAGTTTTTTTTTAGCGGAGATTACGTGGGGTATGTATGTATGTATGATGTAAGACTTATGTTTAATATCGTACTATGTACGGGAGACTACACAGAGACTATTATAATATATGCGGAGACTGGACAGAAATTGTTATACTATATAAATATTTACTTTAGAACTATTTATATACTCGGGCTAGTCTTTAAAGAGGACCGGGCAAGCTTTTATAATTCTTATTATCAAAAATTAACTTTTTAAAAAATATATATTAATTCGATTATTCAATATTTTAATTTAATAATTATAGATGATATTAATATGTTACGACGGGTAACATATTTCCGTATCACATGACTAATCACAGGATCAGAGCTATCATGTGACCGGCTCTAATCAATCTAGTTAGAGCCTCTAGAGCCAGAACACGAAGGTCTATATAATCAAGATGGATTTCTTTTGTATAGAGCTTCGTGCTCAAGATCAATCATTTAGTATACTCTACTATTAGTTACGAATTGCATTATTGTCATTACTTTAAGTCCCTGCTTGACGCCTAGTTATAAACCACCTCGAGAGCCTAGAGAACTTACACGTGATCTAGACGGCAAACCTCGTAACAGCGAAGGTGCAACGGACCCCACAAGAAAAAGGGCATCTGAGAGGATGAAAACCAGATCTTCACATAAATATTCACAAGTAATTAGTTATATTGGTATTTGTTGAATAGGGATACAATGAATAATGAAACACTAATCGGGTATACCATTTCCTCCTAGTGTTAGGAACAACAGAAATCGTGAGGTGAGGAATGTGCATTCGGATGCTGGAATTTGGAAGTGATGGTTCCATCAGACAAAAGTGGTTTCTCATCACGAGAGTATTTTACACCAGCTACCTACACTATGATTATAAATAGCCGTAACAGAAGCAAGACGATGCAAAATGTAAGACAAAATCTAACGTCGTGTCATTTCTATACACAAGAGATACATCACATATACATGATTGACAATGATTGATAGTATCCATCCTCTCCTGTCATCAATCAATCGGTTTGGTATCATCGGCCATCATCAAAAAATGCCCCAAAGTCAAGTCTGTTGACTACAACCACGGAAAGGCGCACACTCTCGGCCCTATCTACTATAACTACAATTAAGCGTCGCAGCGACTGACTGTCGCATACCAATGCGGCACGCGTTCGCTCACTGAGGATTAACTATCCATCCATGAAAATGTCGGTAGACCGCTATAAAATACACAATGACACCATGCCTCATCTATGCGGATTCACATCATGTATGAGGTATTCAGAACAATGACCTAAAAGACATAGGCTCATCAGCCCCTCCCGCATCACCAAAATCTCCGACATCATCTCCAATTACACTACGAATGCCTTCTTTACCTTCACCCTCCACGGCATTGCCCATTTCGTAGGTAATTCGTTTCCAACCACTTTTTTCAGTGGGATCTTTAATCCACTCTGTTGTTGGAAAGTAGTGGTCGTTCTTCTTCATTGTGATGACCCATGGAACATTATCAAAGGTTACTACTTTGATGCGGAAATCTATCGAGCAGTATTAGCAAATAGGTGATATAAACAAAGAAAGGGAATTCTACATGTGTTGTCAGGTATCTTAATGACCACCTTCAAGAACGATTCTAAATCCGGTGTTGGTTTCCCATTGACATGTGTCACAAAGTTGGTGGGTGCAAGGTTGTATTGGTATGATGGCGATCCTCTTGTCCTCGCAGCAACATAAACCTCGCTATGAAGTTTGGAAATTTGTTGGCGCACAGCATGATGAGGGCGATGTAGAATAGCACCACAGAAAGAAATAGCTCGGTCGGTCTCGAGATCATCTGCTGAAACAGTATCAAGCTTAATGCTCATTTCCTTGCAATCGCGGACAATGACTGCATCAAGAACCTCATGATCGTACATAACATCAAGTTCATTTACACGAGTAATGATTTTACCATTAAGAGAAAGGATAATATCTCCTTCAAGAAGAGCACCTGACTCGCTGTTTCGCTCAAAAGTGCGCTTTCGGACCATGAAAAGTTGATGGCGAGATAAATTATCTTCAGCAACTTTGTGAATCCACTCTTCAGATACACCCATGACACGAGCTTGAGCCATTTGGATGGTGTTGAACTCGACGCTCAACATGCGCAGCTTAGGCTTTTCGTCATTTTGTATTTTTTTGATGACGGGTAAAAGGGTAGGAGTGGCAAGGCCAAGATAGTATTCGACATCTTTTGAGCTGGATTGAGATCTTTCTCCCAAATAAGTCAACCACAAAGCTTGGACGATGCCATCTTCGCCAATGAGCACACCACTTCCACATTGACCACTTAGGCTTGTGTCAACAGTGATAGCATCGATGTTGATGGCCCGATATCTTGGTGACGCAGCCTTTGCAGGAATAGCAACGGCAGTGATTTCAGTAATGGTAGTTTTAGCAGCGACAAGTCGCATATTCGTATAAAATGAACAAAGTATGTTGAGCTCTGAGAATGTAGCTTATGCTCATTTCGCACGTTGTACTGGGCAGGACTAGCGAGGGTCGTATTTGATAATAGCATAATTTTGTAGAGGGTCGCATTAAACACCACTTTTCCTTCCACAATGATGGAATCGGCAATCGTGATTGAAATGTCACATAGATCATATGGAACAACTGCTCTAGAGATGACAACCAATCCTTTTTCGGCATCGATAACAACACCCATACCCCACTTGCGGTTCCGAGGATAACCGTCTAGTTTGACAGGCATGTGACATAGCACCCGAACGAAGCTCCGAACGATATCCGCTGCTGCTGGATGCTGCGAATTCTCGAGTTGTATGAACTTTGCAGACCTAGCTACAGGGGGTGTAGGTGGAAGAGCGTCAGCCAAATCTGTGAAATCCCAGAGACCGCTAATGTCATTTCTGACAGCCAATCGCATCTTGCTTGACCAATGGCGGTCAACCTGGAGGATGCCGGTATTAAGAGTGTGGAGATCTCGAAGATGTTTGTATGTTACTACAACTCTTTCTCGGTCCGGAATTCTCTTCATGACTTCAATGAAGCTTTCAAGATCAGGTGTCTTTTTATGATCGATGGTCTGAATGATCCAGCCATTATCAGTGCCTTCGAATCGGAAAGATCCACTGGCTTCACACATGAAAACACCTTTGCAAGCAACACCATATAGACGCGCTTGTTGATACGACAAATCGTGGAAGCTACCTCCTGCGACCGAGACAAAACGATCCGGAGTAATTGAATGAAGATCGCCAACATCAACCGCAACCTCAATATCCTCTCCACCGCGCTGGATAAGGAAGCTTACCGTCTGGCCAACACTGGAGTCTAAGATATCATCCAAGCGGATGAACTGTGTCAGTAGTTCACCGTTGACCTTTAGTAAAAGATCTCCCTCTTCAATCAATTTGTGTGATGGCCCTTCTGGAAGAACAATTTCTGCAACGAGCATACCGGTCTCTTTAGGGAATCCTGTTCGTACAACATCCTCCCAGTCCGGTGTTAATCCAAGCCTCCGACATTCATCAAAAGGCTTGATCAGCCACTGGCATTGAATTGTTCCACGGGTGATTGGTTTTCCCTGTTGTATGCATTGAAGAGCTCTTAAAGGTCGATCGAGAGGTAAGAAATAATCGGTGGCAGCGCCATCACTTCTGCCACCTGCTTGTAGAGCGACGGCATATCCATCAATCTAGAGGCATGTCAATATTTCGAGGGGTTTAAAATTCTGGGAAAGATGGGTATTCAGCCTACATTGACAACGGGACTTCCTGAACTACCGCCACTTGCCGCTGCAGCTGCTTGTATATAGTTGGTATTGAAGTCGCAGTATCCATCTCCGTATTCCGGGGCATTTCTGTCCAGTCTGCTGATGACTCCAGATAAAATACTAAGTTTCTCTCCGGCATCATTACCAACAACTCTGATCTCCGACCCTACCTTGGCGAGATCCGGTCGTAAGCCCAGAGCGGTAACAGGCATGTATTTAATAGCTTTAGGGTCGAATCGTAATATACCAAAATCGTGAACGGGATCGCGGTAAACTGGGTAGGCATCAACTTCTTCGTGATTGTCGAAGACACAATATCCCCAGAAAGGTCCTGATCCGACAACATGTCGATTGGTCAAAATGTATCTGCAAAAAAATATTAATAAAGTTCAAAGGCAAGCTGAATATCCATAGGAGGATTTGATTGAGCTGGAGCAGATAAAACAAACCCTCTCTCTGCATCTACCACAAACCCAGTAGCTTCGCTGGTCAACGCAGGATCCGTATCAAAGGAGCATGTCTGACAGAATCGGATCGACACGACATTTCGAACCACCTGCTCGATTGCGGCCTGCCATTCCGCCGTATCTGCTGCTAAGCCGGGTACTAACTGAGGTCCATCGAGATCGTAATCATCGTCTGAAATCAGGTCGAGTTCTGGGGTATTAACACCTGTTGACTCTTTTCCGTTCAAAGCTCGAAGTTGCTTTTGAGGTCTTTCCGGTACCGTTGGATGTGACTTTCTCTTTGCACGCGTTGCAACGCCATTGGTACCGACCATTTTGTTTGATTGGCCTTTTCTTGGACAATGAGATGTACTGAATGAGCGGATATCTGTGGTTAAAAGCGCAGATGTAAATGAATTCCGAGTATCCTGCAGGAGTGATTGTCGAATCAAAGAACTGTTCGACGTCGCAAGGCTTCTTGTACAACTAAAGGATTTATGTGCAACAAGACGGGAAAAGCCGTGTCTCAATTGCGAATGCAAATATCTATTCATCAAACATTCAGAATATTCTAATAGGTAGATGACTTCGAAATTGACCGTAGTGAAATTGTGAATGAATGCGAAAAGACTAGAGGGATGTTTGAGTTATTTCAACGTTGGTGTCGTTGTACTAGGACTAAAGAGCGGGATTGAAGGAGGGACAAGACAAGGCCAAAAGATAGACTGGAGGGAAGAGGAAGTATTGTTACAAGGAGGGAGAAAGCGTCCAATGGCGGGTGAATTGATACAGAATGGAATGTCGTATGCGCCGTAGAATGTGAGGAAGAAGGAGTATGTGTACGTAGTGTGTGTGATATGATATGATACTAGTGATGGTCTGTACTTAGGTTATCGCATAAGGTATTGCAACATTGTTTTCTTTTTTCCTTCTAAATCTTCGTGAGGCTGTACAGCGAGGCTGATAGTGACTGCCACTTTACCGAATTCGGTAGTACCTAATTATACATCCGATTTCATAACATTGTCCAAAAGCATGATTTTGATTACTTGTCACGATTCGTTCATTCACGTGACCCAGAGGACCTTGAGGACCTTTTGGACCTTAGGGTCCCAGAGGTCCTCAAAGATGATATAGGGTATATAAACATTCATTTAGTCTTATAGTTAAGGAGCTTTGTGCTTAATTTAGTTATCAATTAGTTTACCTACATTCTACTTGATCTAGTAACGAATTCACTTCCAAGTGAATACCAGTGATATGTTACGTCCAAAACGATTAGTATGTCACATGACCATAAAACATGTGATGGAACGGTGAGGAACGAACGTTCCTAGAAACAACCAGGAACGACGATTCCTAGTTAACCATAGGCATGAAGGACTATATAATCAAGATGGATTTCCTTTGTATAGAGCTTCGTGCTCAAGATCAATCATTTAGTATACTCTACTATTAGTTACGAATTGCATATCATTATTGTCATTACTTTAAGTCCCTGCTTGACGCCTAGTTATAAACCATCTCGAGAGCCTAGAGCACTTACACGTGATCTAGACGGCAAACCTCGTAACATGATAAAGCCTTAACCCACAACTACCAATCAGACGAAACCTCAGGCAGCCGCTGCCTCCAGTACAGTATCGTTGTGACGGAAAAGTCGTAAACGGAGTCAATTCAATCACTTAGAATCTAAAACTAAAGAACTAAGAAGATTCTAAGTAAGGTCTTTATATACAGGGCTAGTGCACGTGAGCCACTAGTGGGTAACAACCGTCACGTAACAATCGTTACAATTACCTCATGAACTTTTTATCAAATTGTTATTTTGTTTGAATTCATTTATTTTTAATTCATTTATCTTTAATTCGATAACTTCAAATTTTGTGACGCCTCACACCTTCGGGTCACGTGGCCTGCCCCGTTTGTATTTAATCACAGGAAAATGTAACGATACTGTACCGGAGGCAGCGGCTGCCTGAGGTTTCATCTGATTGGTAGTTGTGGGTTAAGGCTTTATCACTAGTCTTCACTTGGAAGTGAAGTCGTTACTAGATCAAGTAGAATGTAGGTAAACTAATTGATAACTAAGTTGAGCACGAAGCTCCTAAACTATGAAACTACTCTGACTATATACTGAACAATAAAGGGGGCCCCTAGAAGCTTTCTGGCTCCTCAAGACTCCTTATCACGCGATTTCTGATGGTGCGTGCGCATACGATCTTCAGGTGACCAAGATCACATACTAATTCGATGAAATCTGATCGTGTTTGCACACGGCCTAAGCTCTCCTAATTAATCAGTTTGCTACCATCGTAACACCATCAATCCTAATGGTGAATCGTGACAGAAAACTCGCTACTCTTGTTTTCCTTCTTCTTTTCTCCTTAGCTTAGTATTTTCTAATACAAGATACTCTACCCAGTATTCTTGAGTGTGACAAATTTGATAATTTTTTGAAATTTATAACAATTTTAATCATTATATGTCACACTCAAGAATACTGGGTAAAGTATCTTGTATTAGAAAATACTAAGCTAAGGAGAAAAGAAGAAGGAAAACAAGAGTAGAGATTGATTGATTGATTGATTGTGTTTATCGTCATAGGCCGTAGGCCCACGCGCCTTGGCGCGTGATAACCTTAGCCATCTATTCCAGTTTTGGACAAATGACGCTCAGAGGAGAAGCCTCTGAGTGGTTTACTAGCTAGCTAGGGGGAGTATTTTTATACAATTTAAAGGGGGCTAGGGCAGGGTTTACATGATTGCCTTCGCAGGGGGGGTTTGGGCCGGTAGGCCTTTTGGGGTTGTAATTGTGGTCATCCTCGTCCACTAGATCACTACCTCTTGATCTCTCTCCCTGTCTCCTCGTACTTGTTTTGGTTGTTCGTATGCATACTTGTTTTTTTTTTGTTTTTTTTTAATGAAAGAAAAGGGAAAGATGAAAGAGAGGAAAGAAGAGGAAGGAAAAGCACCCTTAGAGACCTATTAACTCCGTTTGAATCCAATGAAAGAAAGAAAGTTTTTTTTTTTTTTTTTATTATCTTGCACCTGTATGCCACAGACAGATTTTTGTGTAGAACTTGGTGTATTCTAGCCATTCGACTAGTTTGGCTATACCGGTGGGATTTCTTAGAAGCCAGGGGATAGCTTCGGAGGGGGGGCTCTTTGTGAGCGCTTTGAAGGCTTTTTCTTTTTTGCAAAAGAAAAAGTGTAATGGAGTTTTCCTTTTACCGCACGAGCAATGGACATGGGCTGTAGTGTGATTGAAGCGTTCATGGTATACTGCGAAGTCGTTATGCTGTGATCTGATAGCGAGAATATGGTGGAGTGTGGCTCTCTTCAGAGAGAGGGTGTCTGTATTAGAAGTGTGGTTGAATTGGAGATCTTTGTAGTATTGTGGGCTGACTGTATTCCATAATTGTTCGTCTGCTTTGTTGACCCTTGTTCTGATCATTCTTTTTAGGGATGCTAGCGTACAGATCGGGTTGAGGGGAAAGGGGAGTTTTGTTCCTTCCTTAGCGGCTTTGTCAGCTATTTCGTTGCCAGGGATATCCAGGTGCCCTGGGACCCATCGGACGCGGATTTTCCCGGGGGAGGTGTGTGGGAGCCTTGGTCTAACAGCCCAAGCTTGTGTGAGCTTCAGAAAGTCTTCAAAGACTCTCTATGAGGAACCATTGAAGTGGGATCCTAATCGGAGAGCAGCCTCGTGGTTGTCTAAGAAGATCCAGAGATCTGTGGCCAGTTTGGTTGATGCTAGAGTGAGGGCTTTTGCTGCCCCTGCTACTGCGGCTGTGGCTTCTGCATCGAACACTTCTGCATTTGTGCCTAATGAGAAAGAATGGTGTGCTATCTGAATATCGAATTGTGAGATTACGAATCCGCCCCCAGTTGCGCCATCCTTGCTTTCACTTTTTGAGCCATCCGAGAAGATTTGTATATCGCTTCTTGGGATCTTGGCGTGGAAGGCTTTGAAGTCTTCGGCTGCTTGTGCCTTCGTTCTGCCCATCGGACCATTGATGCGGGCCTCGGCCTCTGCCCTCGACTCTCTGATTTCCCAGGGTGGGAAGGCCAAGGGGTTTATGTGTTCAGTCTCCGGTAATGCTGTGATGAGCCTTGCGAATCTTGTATCTGGGGTGCGGTTATATTCTCTGGCTTTGGTTATGTTCTCTGCTCTGATCCTGAGAGGATGGTAAAGGTCTAGTCTGGTGGTTCGTGCCGCATATAATTGTGAAATCAGGTTTAGCTCGATCTCGGATGGTCTGAGTTTGGCTTCCTCGTAGAGTACTGCTGTGTTTGTGGTTTTGTATACTGGGAGGATTGCCCTTGTACAGATGATTACCACTTTGTTGAGTAAGCTTAGATGGCTGTCCACTACATTTGAGATCGAGATCAGGTTGTTTAGGGCATTCTTCTTTGTTCTGGTTCGGCCTGGCCACCACGTTTCCGAGGCGAAATAGCACTTTTTGAGTATGCAGGCTTCAGCCACTTTCCTGGTGAGATATGGGGGTATCCCTCGGTGTGTATTGCTGAGGGATCTCAGTGCGTTGGCTCCCTTGAGGGCTTTGGCTGCGAGGATCTGGACATGTGGTTTGAAGCATAGTTTCCTATCGAAGTGGACTCCGAGCCATTTGAGCGGGCCAGGTTTGACCTCTATATTCATAGATCCGGTGTGTATTGCAGGGGTATCCGTTAGTGTTCGGTGTCCTTTATAGAAGTGTATAAGCTCAGATTTCTTGGGGTCAAAAGTGATACCTTCGGTTTTTCCCCATTCGAGAGTTTCTTGTATATCCATTTTTAGAGAATCGCAGTTTGTCTGTAGTGAGTTTGATGTCGCTAGTATCGCGATATCGTCTGCATATCCGAATCTGCTCTGTGGTTTGCCCATCCAGAAGAGAAGCGCGATGTAGAGCATGAACAGGATCGGGGAGATCGGTGAACCTTGAGGAAGACCGCATTCTAGCTTTGTTTCCGGGCCAGTCTCGCCGTCTAGTCGGATCTTGATGGATCGATTAGTGGCGAAGGACTGAACCCATCTAACCAGGTTGTTTGGCCATCCTTGTTCCCGAAGGCGATTCACTAGTCTTCCTGGTAGCACTGCGTCAAAAGCACCTTTTACATCCATTGTGAGCAGGGTGGTCTTTAACCCTTGTTTTAAGGATGCCTCAATGTCGTGTGTAACGCAAGTGGTGAGGTCCACTGAGGATCGCAAGGGTAGGGCTCCGAGCTGCTGGTTCGCTAGGACTTGGTAGTTTAGAGCAAGCCATGATACCTTCTTCGCAATGAGTCTTTCGAGGCCTTTGCCTAGGACCGAGAGCAAGGCAATTGGTCGGTATGATCTTGGGTTGGTATAATCTGACTTGTTGGGTTTAGGGATGATTACGATGGTAGCTAATCGGAAGCATTTTGGGTGGTGTCCTAGGTGTAGACAGCCTTTGAAAAGGGATAGGGTTACTTCTTTTATCTGTAGCCATGCGACTTGTAGGATTTTTGTTGGGATTTCGTCTGCGCCAGGTGCTGTGTTCCCTGCTTTTAAAATGGCCAGCTCTATATCTTGTATAGCTATATCAGGGAAGGTGATAGATCTGCTTGGGGCTGTAGGGGTATCGAATGGGATGTCGTCAACCTCGGCTAGGTTTGTCAGTAGGTTGTTGGCGAAGGTTTCCCTTTTCTCTTCGATAGTATTTGCAATGGTTTGTTTTGATAGATCTGCTAAAGGGGGGGTACGGTATATTCCTGTGGATTGATGCCATTTGGTTATTCGATATACATCGTTTATATCTTCTACTTTATCCACTTTCGTAATATAGAAGGTATGTTTTGCTTTTCGGACTGTTTTCCAAAGAGAGCGTTTGGATGTAGGTGTATTGATGATTCTATGTTTATACACAGCCTTTATATAGTCCTTGTTCCACCAAGGTTGTTGAAGGGGCTTGTTTATGGATCTTCTTGCAGATCCTGTATAGGCTTTTGTAAGGGCTTGTGTAAGGGATGATGCGGCTTGATCTAGGTCTCTTAGAGAGGGTGTCCTGGGGATAGCTGCAATGTTGGTGAGATTAGTTTCTAGTAGGTCTTTAAAGAGCGTTTCATTCAATGTATTTAGCTTGAGTTTCTTTGCAGGCTTTTGGCTTCGGTAATTCCAGTGAAGGTAGGTTTTTAGGGTGCTGTGATCTGAGGTGCACTCGATGAGGGGTCAGCGAGGGCGGTATACGCTGTATAGGGCCCTAAGAGGAAGGTGAGGTCCAAGACGTTTCCCTTTGAGTGAGTAGGAGTTCCGATTGGGGAGATGAGGTGTAGATGCCGGGAGTTTGACCATTCTACAAAGGGTTCGGCTAGCGTTGAAGGGGATGGATGGAGGGGATTCCAGTTGGGGTGGTGGAGGTTGAAGTCGCCTAGTAGGATGGCGTTGTTTGGGAAGTTTTGGAGTTCAAAGAGTGCCTTGATGGCTTGATTGCCATCTGTGCATTGTGTTGGAGCGTTGTAAATATTTATAATGGTAAATATTGTATTATTTGTAGATATTAATTGTATAAATATTAGATCTCTGGAGATTATCGGTCTGATCTGGTTGATCTGAATTCCTATTTCTTTTCTGATATAGGTAAGGACACGAGGGTTTTCCTTCCAATCGTCTAATGGAGTGAAGATTTCGTAGGAGGGGTGAGTTTTGGTGATTTTTCTTGAGGTATCTTTGTATATATATGGCTCCTGGATCGTGATGATATCAATTTGATCCATATTTGCTAGATTGAGGACGAGATCGTATGAGATCCCTCCTTTACCTACATTGGTTTGGGTTATCGTAAGCGGTTTATAGTTCATTAAACGGGATAGGGGTTGGGTTGGCGATTGTTGCAAATCGATTAGCGGAGCGGGTGCTGAAGAGGGTTGTGGAGTGAGTGGAGCCGAATAGGCGGGTGGGGGTTCTTGGCCTAAGTTGGTCCGAGGGGGAGGGAGGGGTAGGGGAGTCGGCCATTTGTGCATCGGATGATGGCTTTGAGCATCCAGCCTTTACACAAACAGAGTTTCTGTTTTCGAGGTATATCTTCCGGATTGTCTGGCGTTCTGATTTTGATTTCCTTTCTCTCCCTTGTGGGCGAAGGGGGCATTTGGGGTCATCTACGGGGTGGGGGCCGTTGCAGTGAAGGCATTTGGGTGGGCATACGTGTTCAGTACCACAACTGGTAGTATGATTGCTCTCTGTATGCTTTCCCGAACCGCATAGGCGGCAGATTTGTGATTTGAGGCATGTTCTTGCGTTGTGCCATTGAAAGCAACGATTGCATTGAGTGATCTTTGGTTTTTGTACTAGGAGGGATGTGCTGATGTTGGCCCCTAGAATCTTCAGGTTCTTTTTGAGTGGTTCTGCTCCTGTCTTGAAGCTTACTATCCATGTTGAGTAATACTCATTAGGTGAGGGGTTCGTTTGGGATTGGATAGCGTGAGTAAGCACCTGACCAGAGTATTCCTTTATAGCGTCGGAGATCGTATCTTTTGTAACTAAAATGGAGTCTATTTTGAATTGGTCATTGAAGATGGTGACTTTCTTGGGGACGTAGTTTAGACGGTAAGTGGTCCATTTCTCTTGGGCCTCAATTTTGCAGTCTCCGATTGCGGATGATATAATGGCTTTCTGTTTTTCAAGGGCTAATAGATTGGCTGTTGAGCTGGTGCAGAGAGCGAAGCCTGTTTTGACCTCTTGGACCTCCCTTAAGAGGGAGGCGTTTGGTCCGAGGACTTTCTTTAGGGCTGTGAGGATTGCAAAAGATCCAGCGCTTCGGGCTGGGTGCATTTGGTTGATTCGTACGAATAAGCGGTTATCGGAGGGAGTCTTGTTTGTGAGGGCAATGGTTGGAGTAGAGGCTTTCTGAATGTAGGAGGGCTTGGGGCCTATAGGCATTGTGGGTGTACTTGTGTGAGTGGTGGTCGGGGGGGAAGGAGGGGAAAGGGGGGTGACAGGCGGAGTAGTAGCTCCCCTAGGGGGGGGATGACCAGTAACAAAGGCGTCGAAGTGCTGTTCGATGGTTGCCTTAAACTCAAGGCAAAGGGAGGTGAGGAGTTTTCGTGAACTCGGTGGGAGAGCGCGGACTTCCTCAGAGCCTAGGTAGGTATCTAGGAGTTGGGTAACTGGGTTGAAGATGGATTGAGCATCGTTGACCTTATTGAGAAGGTTGCTGGCCTTGTCGGAGAGTGTTTTAGAGAGGTTTGGGGGGCTTGGGGTAGCCATCGTTCAACAAGAGTAGAGAGTTTTCCTGTGATTAAATACAAACGGGGCATGCCACGTGACCCGGAGGTGTGAGGCGTCACAGGTATTCACTTGGAAGTGAATTCGTTGCTAGATCAAGTAGAATTTAGGTAGAATAATTGATGAACAAGAGTAGAGAGTTTTCCTATGATTAAATACAAACGGGGCATGCCACGTGACCCGGAGGTGTGAGGCGTCACATTATAATTATTTACTGAAAATTTAAAAATCATATTAAAAATTTTAAGATTTATTTTAAATTTTATATTAATTTAATATATTGTTAAAGTGAATGGTGTTACGAGGTTTGCCGTCTAGATCACGTGGAAGTGCTCTAGGCTCTCGAGGTGGTTTATAACTAGGCGTCTGTTACGAGGTTTGCCGTCTTAGATCACGTGGAAGTGCTCTAGGCTCTCGAGGTGGTTTATAACTAGGCGTCAAGCAGGGACTTAAAGTAATGACAATAATGCAATTCGTAACTAATAGTAGAGTATACTAAATGATTGATGTTGAGCACGAAGCTCTATATAAAGGAAATCCATCTTGATTATATAGACCTTCATGCTTCGTGGCTCGAAGGGAGCGAAGGGCTCGAGAGGCCAAGCCTTCGAGCTCTCCGAGTTCTCGCATCACGTGTTATTACTAATCCTGTGACCTAATTGTTACCTGTCGTAACATCAGCTTCCCACTATTCCCTGTGTAAGGTCATTCCTTTTAACATATATAAACTTTATTTAATATAAATTTAAGGTTTAAAAATATAATATAAGTATATTCTTCTTTGAACCTTATTAATTTTTCTTGAGCTTTCAGATCTAAATTTAATAAAAAAGTATTTGAAAATACTTAGAAAGTTCATTTTAATCAAATTAGAGCTTGTCATTCAAGGAATATGCACGGACCACTTTTGGAGGCATTCTAAAGAGATACTTTTCAGAATCAAGATCTCGACGTTAAAAGAAGTTGCTGAAGTGCAGCATCTGAACATGAAAACACCCGATGTTACAAGTTCATGAGAGTAACGACAATACTCTGCAATTCTCATCATCAATCACGTGTTGTTGCCAAGTATTTCTTGTTTGGTTTTCTCACATGCTCATTATCTCAGAACTGTTCTTGATTTTTCGTTGGCCCAATGTATGTGTCTAAATAAAAGTTGTGAAATCATTCCCGAAGTCGGATAGAGAATCAAGCATTTTTCCACTCGTGCCATAGACTGTTTTCTTCAAGATGTCGGAGAACAGGGAGGATGGGGTCTATTCACCACTGCGTAGAGGTCGATGGAGAGTGGCTGGTGGAAGAGAAGACCTACCAGATTAGTGGTATAACCGTGAGAAGTTGTCCCACGGCATGCTCAACCTCTGGGCGATCAACTATTGAGCGCATTAGATGCCGGCAAAATACATAGATTAACCATCACTCATCATGGCTGACCGCACCACCCAAGATGCCCAATCAATGTAGTATTCCAAACATATCGCAGGAAAAAAAATGGATATGGGATGGGGAGGACGCAGCACGTGGCATACGGCACACAGCGATTCACGAGGGAGCATGTGTATTTGAACAATTACTCAAGCGGGTATTTAATGAGATCTGGGCTCGGCACTTTATGGATTTGCTCACCAAAATTTATCAAAACTTAATCATTTTGAAATTCGATATAAATTTAAATGTTAAACTATATTTTGTTCAAATCTAATAGGCTTATAACTATTCTATCAAAAACCAATAAAATCTTTCAGGATTAAGAATCGAGGTAGACTGTTGGTTTCCACGATGTCGGGCGCTGTTAGTGACGTTACTGGCTGGCAACTGGAGCGCTGAGGCTACTACGGAAGAAGGTGGTGAACTTTCCGAATGGGATGAGCTCTGTTCGGTCGTACAAGTCAACATGGCCAGCGCCTTCGACCCAGACCAACTCCTTAGGATAACCTGAAAGGTAGTAAGCATCCTCGGCGAACTCGCGCGAGTGTGCCTGGGTCCCTGCGACGAACATGACTGGACGCGGCGAGATAATATTCATTCCAGACAGTGGCCAGTAATTGTTCAATCTGGAGGCAGATGAGGTCGTTGGGTAGGTGGTGAGTGTGGGCAACGAGCTTGCTGGCGTGAACTCACCACGTGAAGTGCGGTAGAAGTCGAAGAATTCTCGATCAATTGCAGTGGAGTTTTCTGTGAGTCTCTGGGGGGTGCCTCCAGTGTAAGCAGTAGCGCCGCCATCGACTTCAACTTGTCGTTGCGCAGCTCCCATGGCAATCGTGGCCTGTTGTTGCTGGAAACTGATCGAATTTCGCATCCCGTCGCGATAAGCAGCGCCCATATCATACATGCTTACAGTCGCGACAGCCTTGATGCGAGTATCCATCTTTGCGGCAGTGATCACCCATGAACCGCTGCCGCAAATTCCAAGAGCACCGATCCGCTCGCGATCGACGAAGTTTTGCAAAGTCAGATAGTCCACTGCTGCACTGAAGGATTCTGCATACATGTCTGGCAACACTGCTTGTCGCGGCACACCGTCACTGGCGCCCCAGTATGCAGGATCGATAGAAATAGTGACAAAACCCTGCTCAGCCAACTTTGTTGCATAAAGGTTGGCGCTCTGCTCCTTCACTGCACCGAAAGGGGGTCCGACGACGATGGCCGACGCATTGCCACTGAGGTTGTTAGGAATGAAGAGGTTTCCAGCGATAGTCATGTTGAACTGGTTGGGGAAGAAAATTGGTTGCATCGTGACAATATTGCTAACGTAGAAGTTGTCGGCTCCGAAGGACATATTCTGTGCCGTGGCCGTCATGGCACTAACAATCATAGTGACGCCGAGGGCGGCGATATTGCGTCCGACCATGTTTACAGTGTTGCTATAAGTGACTCTTAGTAGAATTTGGTATTGAGAAAGCGAGAGTGAATGGTTGATGAAGGTAAATTTTCTCTGGTGCGCGACATGCTGCTAGTCTTATAGCTCATGCAGTGGCTGTTCCTGGCCAAGCCACTGGCATGATAATCAAATCAACAGGAGATCCGTCAGCACTTAATGGGAGGGGCAGTGTAACGGCAATGACCAGTTTTTTCTACTCGTATTGTTGCAATGAGAGCAACCGATCTTGGCAAATGTTGTTGTTCTTGGCCAAGCCAAGGCATGATAGCCAGAAACCATCGAGGTTGAACGTTATGGGAGCAGCAGTATAATGCCAACTGCCGGTACTAATGGCCGCTGCAATGAGAGTAATAGATCTTGGCAAGTGATGTTGTTCCTCGCCAAGCCATGGCATGGTAACCAAATTAACAAGAGTCCATCGATACTTAACGTTATGGGAGTGGCAGTGTAATACTAGGAAGCTCACCTGCCGATACTAATGACCGTTGCAATGAGGCCATAGATCCTGGCAAGCGATGTTAACTCGTGTTGCCAGAAAGTATAAAACTCCGAACGCCGGGGGGCAATTTTTCTTGTTGGTCAAACTGCCCCAGGTCAGGTTTCAATTTCTTTCTTAACACTGATTTAGTGTTCGGAGATTTATACTTTCTTGCAGCACGAGTATGGTTGACGTCAGCTCTCGTGAAAAAAGGGACAGATGGGCGTACAATGATGTAGAAACTACTAGATCGGAAGGGCAACACTCAACTTAACCGAATAAGCTCCGGCACAAAGAGAATCTGGGTATCAGGGGTTTGAATATCGTCATGTTGCAGAAATGGGATGATCCCAATGTGTAGTGGGTGGAGGGTCGGGCAAAGAGGATGGGGGCAGATTTAGCCTATGATTATGTTTACTATACGGAGTAGAAAGTCAGATACCGCATAAACTGAACTCGTGGTCTTGGCTTCGGTTTTACTCAGATGAATATCAGGCTGCGTTTGAAGTTGACGAGATTATTGTGGTTAAAGTCTTTTTTGGCCTGGTCAATTACCTACGTAGTACATGTGAGTAAGAAGATGTTTAATCATTACCATCCAGAATATCAAGCCAGAAATCCATCCGATATTTATCCAGTCAAAGATAAATTGAATGCCAAGACCGCGAATCTTAAGCTTAAGTTTATGCGGAAGTTAAAAAGAGATGTTAGTTAGTCCACGCCAAGACCATAAGCAAGCTGCATTAGTTTCTCTTGGCAAACTGGGCAAGATCCGAGCTAGGAATCGGCATTGAAATGAACCTGTGAACTACTAGCTTAAGGAGGAGTGACAGGCATGGATCCTCGTGGAGGGTGGATCTACTCCGGACAATCAGCTTGTACTATGTTATCTCTCACCCTGACGAATACTATTCTGCTTCGCTCATTACACGCTCATTTATCAGAGGTGAGAAATTGGAATAGTGTCGTAAACTCGCCTACGCCAGAACACACTAAGCCTATTTCAATCCATAGCTTTCCCGGGGCCTACACAAAGTGGATCAAAAAACATCCGTTTCAATTGATTCTTCCAATCATATTGATCAATAATAGGAAATAAGGAATAATCTAATTTGAAATAGATTTAGTGTGTTCTGTGTAAGTGAGTTTATACAAGTAATAGTTGGGATGGTGCAGTCAATAACACAGCCGGTACAAAAGAGAGTCTGTAGTTATTTTTGAGTGTGCTTAGGCTAGTCCTTGAAGAGGGCCGTCTGGCTACACTGCAATATAAGAACACCAAGAATTCTAACTCTTCAAACTCTCAAAATTCCTGTTCCTCCCGCTACTACTACCTACCCTCGATTCGGCTTCGGCAATTAGGCTTTCCAGCTCCAAATTCACTCCGATCACGTCCTGGTAAGGGGCATTTCGATAAAGAGTATTTAGGTAGAGAGTAATAACTGTCGAGTTTCTCTTTCGATTCGATTTCATTAAGTTTTCCTGTTTTTATTTCGAATTTCGGTTTCGGTAGACAGGCTTTTTTTGCTTTTGAATCGTTCCATTTCGATTTCGGTAGAGAATTGATCCTCTCTTTTCGGTATTGACGTCCTCGTTAATTTTGATGATTCTTTAGATTCTGTAAATTGAAAGGGGACAGAATTCGCAACTTGCTTCTTCTGAAACAACTGTTAAAGAGAACACAAGCTCTATTCCTGTGAAAATTCTGAACTCTAAAACGAACGGCTAACCACTGTTGTATCGCCGTCCGCAACCAGATTTAATCTTAGTCAGCAAAAGATGTAGATAGGAAGCACTCTTTCAGCTACTATACAAGAAAGCAAATAGGAAAGTAGAGGTTGGGATTACATCTAGATCTAACAAGAACAATGCTTCTCGAATGTTTGCTGCAGCATTGCAAGTGTTTTGATAGTGTGCCTTTGGCGAATAATTTGACATGGAATTTGAAGGGCCGCAAACCGCGGCGATCTACTGCAAGGTAGATTCTTCTTGGGTGCTAGATCTAGCTTATACGCTGATATTATGGTCATGAGTGTCTGTTAGGTCTCGTCGTTCGCACAAGTTATACAACACCAAAGATCGCATTGATGAGAGTGGATGTAAAAAATAAGGTTTTCGCATTCAGTAATAAAATAGTCGAATTTATTAAACTTTGGCTGATATAAAGCATTTATGCAAACCTGGAGCCAGAAGGTCTCTGAGTGCCTCTTGGTATCAACCTTTTGAGTTTCCTTGACTCTAAATTCCAGTCAAATTTACTAAAATTTCATTTATTAATACCTTTAATACCTTCAATCCCTCAAAAAATCCGAAGGTATGAGACTTTTATTACGAGACAGACTTTATAAGAAATATCATGAGGATTGGATAGAAGCTGATCATCTTTTTACTAAGAGAGCTCTCGGGCTCTCTTTAAAGAGTAGTCGCATGCCTAGGCGCTTTCATTTTGTCTCAAGCTCAAATTCAACTAAACTGATTTGATGCGAATGATACTTCGAAATTGAAAAAAGAAAGAACATTTCACCATATGTTATGTAAATTACTGAATGTTAAGACATGTGGGTTGAAAGAAACACTTTGTAGAGTCAAGTTACGTACATGCGATGCGAAAAAAAATGCAAAGAATGTAACTTCGTGACATTCTGCTGAATAATTTGCCGGAAAATTCAAATAATTGAAGGAGGAAAGCCAGGAATCACTCCGATGTCCCGTAGCAAATGAACTCCCAGAGCCTTAAACAACCTCCATTTGCTTTAAATAACGGAGAAACTTTCGAAGTTCAACACCCAATTAACCAGCATCATCGACAACAAGCTTTTGTTTAGCATCACCCTTAGCCTCGTTGGCTTTAGCCTTGACGGCAACCTTCTTAGCGACCTTCGGTTTCTTCTGAATGGCACCTAAACAGCCGTTTATTAGTTTTGTGAGATGACTTGCCAAGATTACATGAACATATACCTTCTCCAGCTTTCTCAGCGGCGTTATTACCGTTGTCATTGCTATCATCGTCTTCCTTAGCTAAATCCCATTGTCTGTGACTTAAATACGTTTCTGGACTCATAAAAAGATAAACGCACATTCCCCAGCATGTGCAATTGGCTCAGCAGCAGACTTCTTAATATCGCCCCAAATGTTCTGGAGAGCTTTCTCGGTACGACCAGGGACATCTATAGCTTCCCACTTTGGGGCGAAACCTTTCCCTCCTGCTTGGAGACAGATCTGAAGCAATAAATAATCCTGTATTCCTAGTTAGGTATTGCTGCAAAAGAATAGAAAAGCAATCCTACTCTTTCTTTTTGCGTCCAGCGAGAGCGGGAAAAAGGACCCATTCCGCCGGCGTTAGCCCCAATACTTTCTGGAACCTCGGACGGATTGCCGGCAGCAGCTTTGCCCTTAGCACGAGGAACAGCCTGAGCAGTCTCGGCTGCTCGTTTTTGACTCTCGCTACGATTGGACATTGTTTGGTTTCGAGTTGTTATCTTTTGTAGTGTGGTTGCAGAAGTACTAGCTGAGCAATGTTAGCAATGCAATGTAAGATTTCATGCTGCAAATTATTCCTAGTTGAACGAACAAGGAGATTTGATATGTGGAAAAGGGGGGGGAGAGGGGTTTGTAGTAATCTAAATCTATATGAAGCTGTTGTGCAGAAATGCGGTAAAGCCAGCTTCGAATTTTTTGGCCCAACCGACCGAGACCAGCCCTCAGAACTGTAAAATGCGACAGCAAAGGTACGAAAATTTTGTGTACGAGTAATGAAGGGGCAAATAGAATGAAGATAAGCGAAATTAATATGACTTACTTAAATTGCAATGTATGCTGAATAGTAAACGTGGTTGACGACGATAGCAAGTTGGGAGATTGTTGTTTGGGGATGGAGAAAGTTGGGAGGAGCTGGTCGATAGCGAGACTTTTGTATCAGTAGCTGGGCTGTGCGGGATAGGTTTGATTATGGGTGCCTTATTAAGGAATAGAATGTAGCGGGAAGTGTCTTGAAAGATGTTGCTTGCTTGGTGCCTTGCCTGTTTGGCTTATTTAGGAGCTGCGGGATTGGGTCTGAAGTTAAGACTTAGTATATTAATTGGGAGAAAGAGAGGAAATTTTGAAAGTATAAGCCTAGACTTCTTTTGTTAGATTCAATGCTGCTTAGGAAACTAGCAATATCCTGATATACAGCTCCCAATTACTGGTTGATGTGCAAGAAGTGTTCTGCAATGGTTCTTTGTTGTCGTAGCCCTTCTAGGTATTATGTGAAGTAGCGCTAAATCTCTGTAGGTCTCTGGAGAATCCCAGAAACTTCCCTCTTTGTCTTTTGAAACATCTGTTATGCAGCTATCTGCACAAAAGCTGGCACAACTGTATTCCGAGACTATTTGAAACGTTGGCTAGTCCCTGGCAGCAACTGTTTACTCCATCCTTTAAGTTTCCCGGGCTCTTCCAGGGCTATTCCCTAATTCAAAGATTAGTCAATACTCATGAGACTGCGCGAGCTCTCCTGGTAGTGCTGCAACATGAATTCTATATGATTCTGAAATACTATGAACAGATCTTACCTACCTACTTCGAGCATCTTTCCCGACTCCCTTAGATGAACATAAGGCCTTTCACCTCGTTCAAATCCATACGCTACACCTGCGAAACTGCGAATATAGTGGCGATGAAACACAATAGAACACTGTGCGAGGTTTTTCAAGGATGGTATAACAATTGCTTGGAATTATTAGCACCGAACGACGTCTTAACACAATATCTTTAGAGTATTGGCTCAACTCTGGAGCCTATGATGATAACAATCTCGTTGAAAGCTCACCAATCAGCCCGAAGGGCCCCGAAGGGCTGCGCAAGGCTATTACACAGTGTTGCACTAGTTATTTAGGACAATTAGATAATCTGCCGTCCTATTCCACACGTTTATACTCTAATTTCCCATTTTTGACCATAACATAAATAGTCTTCTTATTAGAGCATGCTCTTTATCCCCTGGCCGATGTAAAATCTTCGAAATATCAATACACAATAGCTTGAACAACTTCTACATTGCCATGAATGCCCTGGACGACGATCTCAATCTAGCCACGGCGCTCCCTGGAGAATATTGTGCACTATTTGGTAATTTTAACCCTAATCACAAACCTGTGTGGCTAGCAGAAACTTGAAAAGTGCTTATTTCTCTCTGGAAACGCTACAACACCTTCGCAATCATTCGCAAACCTTACCAAGTGCTGGAAAGATCCATGGAGACGATTATATGCTGCCCCAGTCCCTCAAAAGACACTCACATTCCAAGCGGTAACTTTTAGATTACCTCGAGGGCTTGTTGTTTAGTCTGCAAGTTTACCAGATATTCTCCTATCTACCTAGGAAGTTCCACAGCTGAATCTAAAGACATTAAAATACAGTTAAGCTGATAAGACATTGTGCGAACATGAATCAGAACCTCCAGGAGTCCGCAGATTGTGCCCCTATTCGAATTCCGCAGGATGTCCAACGCTCTAGCATCGCACTCCAGTTCTCTAGCTGTAACAGTAGCTCGGCACAAATTCTGCGAAATACCATGTAAGTTTTAGGGCAAGCTTTTACATGATCTTCTGGCAGAACACTAAAAATACGGGACAAAGGTTTCCCATAGCTTTCACTAACAGAGTACAGAAAATAACACAGAAATGAATTGTGTGTTTTCCTATGACCCTCAGCTACGATCTAAAACTAAGCCCGAACCTTCTACAAACGCGCGAACGCTTCCTTCCTTCCAATTCGAACCATCTTCACCGGCAAAACTTTCAGTCACAAAGAAAAGCATCCCTACCGAATGGCACAAGAAAAATATGGTGGGCACTGGAGAAGGAGATCTACTGTTTGGAATCATCAACTCTTTATTATAAGTTCCAACATCCTGCAGACTGCCGAATTCCATGCATTGCATAAATCCTTTTCGAAACGTACTTAATACTCTTATGGCTCTTTCATATTAGAAACTCTAAGAAAGTCGATAACCGCAGGCTGCAATACTATTAACATGACAAGAGTCTTTGAATAAGTAAGAACATTTCTGGGAGCGTCTAAAGGAAATTTGCACCAACTCCTTACAAGTTTAAATGGTACTACTTTAGGTCCTTATTCAAGTTATCCAGATGCGCAAAGTGCTTCCAAACTTTCAATCAGTCCGCAGATGTCAGAACAATCAGCCTAGACAGCCTAGAATCTCTTTCATTCTCCACATATCAAAGAGCTTTGCTTTTGTCAAAACCGCAGCTCTATCATACCGAAGGTTATTAAGTGCAAGCAAAGCTTTGAAGTAAGAAAAAAAGAAGTGTAAATCAACATAGCAGAGCGCTCCATCATTGTACTATTCTTCAGACCCAATTAAGCGCTGCCTTCATCATATTAGAAGATAATTACTTCCTATTTTCTCTGCGAACTATCTAGCTCTCTTCTAGAACACCCAGCGAATGTGCCAACCTCGAGAGAGATCGTAGCAAGAGGTCGATGTTCTTCTTCTGATCAGGAGCTGAGCTGCCGGCTTCATAAGGAAATGGGATGTATAGCTGGGTGCTTCTAGAGACCTCCAGAGTTTATGCAACTTAGCAATTAGACAGCTTACCATATAGAATTATCAACTCAAATGAGTACTCCAAGTCATTAAAGCAAATTCTAGCTGATCTGCGAGTTATTCAAGTGAGATTAAATTTATTCCTAGCCGTTGTCTGATTCTTATCCTTCTGTATGCATGACTGCTACTTATTATCCCATGAATTTGACTTTCTATTTGATGTGCGAACTATCTAGGCGTATATTGCGCTCGTAACCAGGAATAAAGAGCCTATCCAATGGAAATAGAAGTATCTAGTGACCTAGATTCTTGTTGTACATCATAAAGCAGTATGAATCCTCATTGACTTAATAGTACTGGCAGAAAGAGAGGCCAGTCCAATGGGAGGAGGAGGAGCCTGCCTTTTGGAACTTTTGTTGCACATCATAAAGCGGTATGATTACTCAATAATTTGATAGATCTGGCAGAAAGAGAGCCCATTCCAATGGGAGGGGGAGGATCCTGCCTTTTGGAACTTTTGTTGCACATCAGAAAGCGGTAGACTGAATGAGTGGTAGGTAAGCCTTGTAGCTGGCCGCTGGTAGAAACACCGGAAAGCCAATAAGGGCAGTCTTTTGCCCCCTACTTGCTTATGTTGCATATCTCAGGCGGTGCGGCCGCAAATGCCTACTTCTCAAGTGGCAGAAAATGAAACGGCAATAACAAGTGATAGTACATGTACTGGTCCCTAACATACCTCGAAGATCTGAGGAGGTGCTAAAGATCACGTAGAGTTCACTATGGAGGGTAAAAAAACTTCCTCCTTCAAAAATTACCTAGTAATTAAGTCACAGCTAATTCTCCGAATACTTTAAAGCACTTCTAGATATATCTGCCATCTGTTTTTTGTTTATCAAAATTTATCACCGCGGTGCTATAGAGCTGTCACGGTTGTGGCTGGCTTTACAGCAGGATCGACGCTTCAGGCGACAAAGACACAGAGTTTATCACAAAATACTACAACTTGTACCCCTTTGGAAAACGAAGCTACATTCTAGGCAGATACCATTAGCTTGTTGTGGGATACATGTCTTCTGGAGCTTGACAATCAGCATTCAGCCAAACTGTCATTCGAGCCAATCTTTGCACTTTCAAGGTTGCGCTAGTCTCATGTAATCTCCACGGCCGGATCATTCGCAACCCCGTCGACTGCTTCTCAGTGCATCACGCGATATGTGCTAGGCCCAGTTCTATTATTGGCCGCTAGAGACTTTTCTCGACAATTTTGCACATCTGCGCTTTAGCGTCTAGAGCCGGCAGCCAGCGAGGAAGAATACCGTCGCTCCGTTACATGTCAGGAAATCAAATTTTCTATTTGGGGTCAAGTTACAGCTTCTGTGCTTCAATAGCCAAAGCTGCAGCCCTAATCAAACACCATGCTTCCTGCAATCTCTAAGCTGGACTGTCTACTCTGGGAGTGGATCTAGCATTTATGTTTCTTTTGATAAACTTCTACCCTACTGACCTCGATCATCACAACAATCAAAGATCTTCATAGACATAGATTGACTAGCTTATGGCAAATCCGCAGCTTTTCCACAGCTGAGATGGATTATTTTTTAAAGCTTCAAGAACCCCTTCATCCTCCACCCCTTTTCATTCTTGGTGCTGTAGCTAACTCGAACCTCCTTCCAGTTCACATCGACTATTCTTGCATCGACTAAGAAAAGCCTTATCCACTTCTTCAGACTTCGAGGCGATAAATTATTATAACACACTGGTGAATGCGGGGTCTGGCAAGATACATATACAAACAAACTGGTTGGGCTGGGAATACCGTCGCGATGAAGATTGAGCACACTTACAACACTGGGTGGAAGATATTTTATATAGAAGGGTTGAAATTGGTAACGTGAAAAACACTTGACTGCTTGCAGCAGGCATCGTACCAACTCGAATCACAAGGGACATTACCGCGTTTCTACGTGGGCCTCGGGACGACTTGGCTTCGAACCATGTTTATAAAGTAACCAACGATAAACCTTTCAAGCCCTCGAGTTTCCAATATATGCTACAAGAGAGATCCAAAGCATTCTGGGCTCCAGATTTCTATTCAAATCTCATGCTGTCACAACGCAGATTGTCAAGATCGATTCAAATTGAGTAAAAGATGAGTGTCCAGATATCTTTACCAAAAGTTTGATATGATTGATCTTTTATCAAAGTCTATATTTTTACTTCAGAAACAGCATCAAAGTTTTAAGCAGACTAAAACTGAGAAGTGTTAAGTCTCCCTGAAATTGGTGGTAAAGCATCATTTACTGACCAAAAAAAACTCTACCCAGGGCCCCCCAGTTTCTCCTATCCAAAAGCAATAACCAAAACAAAAAATACCAAAGAAGACCTGAGAATTTATTACTTTATGAGCAGAACCACAATACACAAACAATCTCGGGTACTCGAAGCTAGAGTATTAGCCGAGCCCCTGTCTTAGTCCTCACAACACCACCACGTTTTACGTACCAATGAACCCTGCATGGAATACTAAGCAATACACAAGATATTCAGAGATTTGGGATATGGGATTCACGAAATGGTTCTGCTTTCTGTGGACAGAGGTTTCTGTCTGACCATATAATAGGTCACGAGAAAGTCACATGGTAAAACTTTAGGTACAACTTTGCATAGCATTTGCTAAATTGAGTTTAAACTTGGGCATGACTTTTTTGAAACCTCCGGTCAGTCTTCAAAACAAACATAAAAGTCAAAATTTCAACTTGTCATTACTACCATCCACCAAAAGCTCGGCTAGATACAGCAGGTAAGGAAATGAGGTGGGGTGAAACAAGGTATGGTGGTAACAAATGGAGCTGAGTTCTATGCTCTACTTGCATATAATTTTACTGAGTGAGTCTTATTAAGCCCCTGAGACGACTCATCATACATCTCATTTCAAAGATTCCAGGCCGGCCCAAACAACCCATTTCGCACAAAGGAACCTTTCATATACTCCCTTTATTGCACTTGCCCAGAGCTAGCATATGGAAAAGGAAAGTAAGGTGTCTGAAAATTCTTAGTTCTCAAATTACATCCTTTTACTCAAAGTCTGAGTCCAACCTTGGAACCTTTTGTTCTATTTATTCTCATAGATGAACAGATTTATATTTCCATAAGCCCTGCTTGACGCTAGTGTTCCACTACAGCCTCATCTGTTAAACAAATATTGAGGCTCGTGACCTCGGGACTATTTCGGATTCTTACAATGTTCTGTTGCATATCTGTGAGAATTAGTATTTCAACCTTATAGGGAGGGTAGACTTTGATAGACTCTGGGAGACTTTGGGAGGCTTTGCTGAAAGACTAAAATACAGCGAAAACGAAAAGTTGATGATTGGAGGTGGTTTTCTGTTGATAGGAAGAGATAGTTTCTGGATAAATAACGGGCAAGTTGTTTTAAGCTTGGGAAGTTGAGTTTCCTAAGAGCTGTGGGTGATTGATTATCCATCTTTTGTATGCTCATTTGATGAGAAGTTGATACTATTTACCTCTTTCAGTCCCAGAACAACATTTTATAAAGGACGTCATGCTGGGAACATTTCTGAAGGTGTAAAGGGAGATATTTCAGAGCAAGAGTTAGATCATGCATATAAATGAAAGAGAAGGCTATGCAAATCATAAAAGGTCCCAGATCCAGAGTCAAGTTATCCCAGATTTGAGGTTTGCATGTAGAGTTCATGAAGGCATGCAAACAATAGAAAGATATCATTTGGCAGACCCCTTTGATTAAGACCATGAGATAAAGTTGGGACCTTTAGAAATGGATTTTCAAAAAAGCTGGGAGCCTTTTTGACTTTCTTAGTAGGCCAGTGTCATTATGAGAGCCTGTGAGAACGAAAAGATATATTAGAGCTTTAGCAACAAAGATAATCTACACACAATTTCTCGAAATAGATTCATCTAATATGCTTTTCCAATTTTTTGAACATGCAGTTTATCAACAACTCCAGGAAAAAATTCGAGTTCCAGAAGGCGATAAGTTGAAGTAGATGGCCTCTTGCAAGGATGCCACTTTCCAGACCGATTCCTTAGAATTTATAACATCTTCTCCTTTACAAATATGCATTTCTCTGCCACCCGTGAATCATTAGCTACAATCAACATTAGCAGACTTCAAGGTTCTTTCAATCAAAGTGCTCCGGTCCAAAATTAAAACAATCACTTCGCAAGAGCAATACGAAAGAAGAGGATAAAATTCATTAATCTTTTAGATCTGCTGTTAGCTTACTCTTCGATTGACTATAAAACATCATGTACCGACCCAAGATTTGTTTTCTGTTCAGGATCTTCACCATAATACTCTCCCGAGATGGACCGCCTCCGCCAAATAATATTCCGGAATTTTACCTACATGATGATAACGAAAACACTTTTGCGGTAGCGACCCCAACCAATCTTTTATCTTAATAGTCACATGCAAGTATTGGAGTATCGGATTCGACAAAAGAAAGCTTGGTTTAGGTTTATTAATACCATTTGCCAGTACCTCAATACACTATTTCGAAGTCGTGACTTAGAATGCGGAGCTAGCCTGTACTCACCTACCTCACCACCGCACCAGACTAAACTGGGACCACAACATGATATCCTATGGCCTTTCGCTTATTACTACTGAGTAAAAGTTCTACCAGACTCTAGCTACACCAGAAGGAAAGAGCTGTAAATCAGGAAAACCGAATCTGTTGTTCGTCTTTTGGAAGAAACTTCGTCGTTACTTCCACCTCCGACGCGGGAAACCGAGAATGATTGAGCTCTCAATGCAAAGTCGACGAGGGGAATAACTAAAGATTTATCCAGTCAATTTGCCCTTCTATCTGATCAGAACATATCCAATCATTCCAATACTTAATCTAAACATTTACGCGTGATTTTCCATTTGCAAATACCAAAGATTACTCACCTGAAGCAAAGCTCCGCGCTCAAAAGTAAACCATCAGTAGCGTTTACCTGCAAATCCTTCTCAACTGTAAATCGGGTAAATCGGTAACATTCACACCAGAACCATCTCTACTATTGAACCTCCTCAAGCACCGCCTTCAAAAACATGTTTCAAGTATCGAAAGACACAACAAACCGAGAATACTACATCAAAAATGACCAGATAAAGAAACATATATCCCATTCCAAAGCAACAGTAAAATGTGCTGCTGCAATTAGGACATGCACATATGACTAGACGTAATTCCTTAACTAACCATTCTTACGCTACGGTACCCCCGCTCCAGAGCATCATTTGCAAGATCTCACCAGAAGAAAACTTCACTCAGTTATCACCAAACTAATGCGAGGATTCCAAGCACAATGAGATAGGGTGTGACGACTTTCTTTCACTGCGATGCCCGAGTAATGTTCTCTATTATCTAAAATACATACTATTTCACTATTATCAAAACTACTCAGCCAAGCTCCAAAAAATTTGCTCCGCGCCTTCCTCCCACTCCATTAAGAACCCTAAATTTCCTATCAAACGAAAGTTCGCGAAATTTCCATCGATCCCGAGACGGAAATGCAATGAGCCATTCGCGATTCAGAAATCTCCAATGAATTCTACGAGGGCGGGTTTTTAATGAATGCCAGCCTTAAATAAAGAAGAGCATCAATCTATTTTAAATAATACTTTTATATATAAATTAGTATCATAACATAATATTCTATTAAGGATTTCTTTTCGATTAGTTTTTTATAGTATTCTTTTAATTTGCTAACATTTCCAAGGTATTTTTAATAATTTATATTGAATACTTAATTTATTATTAAATTTTAAAAGTTTGAAGAATAAAAACGATGTCTCATTGTTTATATAGGCGCTTGGACCGGCATTCATTAAAAACCCGCCCTCGTACAGCCATCTAATACCTTCGTGAATCCATGCGTTAATCACGATCAGATACGTAATACAAAAACATCAGGGTAATTGCATACATAATACAAGTATCAATCCTCACGCTGCCTCGAGAAATCTTCGCAGGTGTAACTGTCATTATATTATAAACATGGAAAGAAGTATCAAATGGATCATTTTCGAACGCTGCTACTTTCACATGTCAAATTTTTGCGTTACAGATTATAGTCGAGTTAATTTTAGAGAAGATGTTCATTCCATTAAGTAGACGAGGCAGTTATGCCAGGAGGATGAAGTCTACTGGAAAATGACAAGGTTGTTGTCACCATCTCTCTATCTAAAGTGTCCGGGTCTTGCTGCTGCTGCTGCCAAACTCTACTAATACAAAACTAGAAATACAAAATATTTGCCATACCAAAAACTCCTTGGTGATAACCAACTCCGTTTCCATCCATACAAAGCCCATGCCGAGGAATTGAATGTTATATTTGAGGATAGCATGCTGGTGGAATAGTTCTTGATTTCTTGTACAGTGCCGAGTCGTGCGGCGCGTGCTGTGCGACAGCTGCGTCTATTGATGTTTTGTTTGGTGTTTTGATTGACGTTTTGATTGAACTTTAAATTGACCTGTTTCATAAAATCAGGCATTCACTGAGAGTCATCTTTCGAGCTCCTCGATTGCGAAATGCGTGTACCAGCATGCTAAGCAGGAGGTCCTCCAAGAAAATCCTAAATCTCCCATCAAAACCATCTACCAGATCCACATACAAAGACGATCCATCCACAACAAAGACGATCCATCCACAGCAAATCCGTACCAGCAAGCAGCAAATCCTCCCAAGAAACGCCACCATCTTCGTAGCAAACCCAATCAGAACGCTGAGCTACTAGAACCAGCGTAGCATGAGTGCATTTCACCAATCATCCTAAACCAGCAGAAAGGTACTAAATTATCAGTGAAAGTTACCAAAACAGTCATATAAGCCCTCTCTAACAGATCAGAACAAACAGGCGGTGCAGCGCCAACAAGGTCCGAAGACCTCGAAGGCATTGTCCTACCAGAAGCCCAGTCACCGCTGACTTGGTAAAACGAAAGGCCGCACCTCCCGCCCACGACCCCGGCGCGGCGCAGCAAACTCCATAGAGAAAGCTACCCGGACCCAAGGTATCACTGGCCAGTCAGATAAACCAATCAGAAAGCTGATTCCGACCGAAGTCATCCCAGATCCCCTTATTACCTCGCCACTGGATGTCTCACTAACTGCCTCAGCATCAACTGAAATAGCTATCGAAGAGTCTCTAAAGGTCTCTTCAAGGAACCCCGAAGGGACCTATAAGAACACCTCACACTGCGCCTGTCGAGAAAACCGCGGAGAATTTCGGTGAGCTACCCTAAGGTAACTCGTTGAACGACTCGTTGGATTCTCAGTCGGTGCAGCAAGAAGAACAATCAGAAATCGCAGTGAAGTCCGATGAGCCACCCGAGGGTAACTCTGTGGACGACTCTGGAAATCAACATGAGCTTCACCTGAGAAACCTCAGTCCCAGAACAGAGAAATATCATCAAGGATCCCAAAGGAATCCCGTCAGATAATTTCTACCGCTCCATTCGAGATCTCGCCGAGAAGTCCGGTGAGTCACCCGAAGGCAGACTCGTTGGACAACCCATTGAGAAACTCATATGGATTGGTAAGAGGAACCATTAGAGCTCGTTGAGAAGTTCGATGAGCTACCAAAGGTAACTCAGTGAACGACTCGTTGAGCTCCCACGAAACCTCTTCTGAACCTTTGTCTAAACAGAAAGACCGAACAACAGGTCAAACGCAAGTTCACCATCCCCGCCTCAGCATCATCGAAATGACCGAACAACGGATCATTGGATCTCTCCCAGGTCTAAGAACGGCATCTCCTTTCGTCGGCCACAACCTCAAGAGAAACCTATCAGTCTCCCGAAGGAGTCTCAACAAGGCCCCTCAAACGAGGTCGATAACCTTTGAAATTCAATGACCAGTCTTAGATCATGGAAGTTAGCCGCAAGAATCTTCCACCAAGCCAAACTTTCCTGCAAGCAGTACCCTCCATTGGGCATCGCTGCCGCAGTTCAGCCCGAAAGGCGGGTCGGAAACGAAAGAAGACAAAGAAACGGCTACTCCGGTACGGCTCAGGCCGTTCACCATCAATGCAGTAACAAATCCCGCGTCTTCCAAACTTATTAACTAATACTTAACTCCAAAGGTGTTTCCACACTAAGGCAGTAGCACAGTTTAAGAATCTGGACACGAAAAATGCCGTAAGAACCACGTCGTCAAGGTTCGTTGTATTTTAACAGGACGGACATTGCCTCAGCGCCGACACGACTCCGCACATCGATTGGCCAACCAACAAGAACAGACTAGTCTGCTGCCCTAATTTCGTCTCAGTGCCCGGTGGTTGAACAACGAAATCCCTGAGTGGGCTGAGAAGGGAAGCCTCAGCACGTCCATTTGTCAACCCTCAGGGGCAGGTAGACGCCGAACAGCTTCTCCGCAGCTACACCCACAGTAAAACCCTTCTGAGGTAAAACTGAAAATGGTGGATAGAAAGGTAACTACCAATTAGCCTCTCAAAGCCCCCACGCAGAACAATGAAACAAGACTTCCACACACGCCATGCCTTCTACCTTCACTGGACATGCCAGGTGGAAGTGACTGAACTTGAAAGATAATTTTTTCCCAAATACCGAGAAGAGCTATTGAATCCGTGCTTTGGACCCCTGACTTGTATCCTCACTAGGAAAGACTTACACAGCGTAACGGAGTAGGTAAACCTGAGAGTGTGCCTTCGGAATTCTCCTCATACAGACAATACACTATACCCACAGCACTCCGTTACTCCGAGAACGAAGTAGGTTGAGATATCTGCACCTAGTATCCAGGTTTGCAGTATCTTACTAAATAATAGGCGCCCTCAAAAGACATGCGACAGCTATCAGGAACTGAATCTAACCCCATGAGGTGTACCCACACTCAGGCAGTGACCAGTCCGTGAAATTGTTGGATAATGCAATATCATTCTCATTGGGCAACACCTTACTATTCACCTTTACAGCACTTTGTTCTGGGTGGCTTTCCATATCGCTCAACAGGTCATCAACAACTCTTACAGACAGTTTGAATGAGTCTCGCGTTGCGCGTTGTCTCGGTGGCTCGACGCATTGCTAGACTCCTGTCTGCGCTAACTGAATATTAATGGAGATCAATAACGTGCTTCTTAGTCTGGAAGAAATCCAAATGGTATCAGGTTTGACCTAGTACCCAGCAAGCCGCACCGCCAGGGACATGATCCCCAACGATGTGAGGGCGCCTCATGAGCCTTTCGGTTCATGAGTCCAGCTAGAACCTTCTGTCGTCTAGAATTTCACTAGTATCCCCACAAGCCGCATAGCCAGAGACGATGCAGGCTCCCCACGAAGGCGTTTGCGCAGCATCCGCGATCATGGGTCAGGCTAGAATCTGCTTGACTGGCGACAGTGTCGCGCAATCTCAGACCATTCCATTCTCCACAGGTTACATCGCTACCATTATCAGCCCGTACAAATGATCAAAGTTCTATAAGGTACTGTCGAGCATCTTTGCATACAATAAAATGAGATTTATCGCACACTCAGCAAGCCAATGCCAGTAGTTCTAGGATCAAATGAGATGAACGTGGATCGCGCTATCGCAATCGGATGGAGCTTTGCGAATGGAAATATGAGACTGAATGATTATTGAAGCCCATCGATAGTTAAAGTATGAGTGTTGAGTGAAGATCTGTTACCCTTGCGCCTGTGATATTAAAAGGGGCGCTACGGAGGGCACCGCGCTTTCAAATATCAACACGTCACAAGTAATCAACCAAGGTACGGTAAAACCCCCAAGCCCCACGAGATCAAGCCCTCAACACACAATTTTTCGATAGGACTAGAGATCAAGAAATTAGGTTCCGAGGAACAAAAAATCATAGCCAACGCCCACAAGCTAAAACCCACAATGATCTCTAATCCAAAGAAATAAAGTGCTTGCGTTACAGGCAGATCTGAACCATCGGTTCGTAAAGCCAGCAACCACACAACAGATCTTCTACTCTTCACAAACTTATGATCAAGGGGCAACAACGGCACAAAAAGAATCAGAAAACTCATACACTTAGCCTAGCCATCACCACCGAGCGTCAACATAAACCTACGTAATTTAGTGAAGTGAATACCGATATGGCTTTCAGGGATAAAGTCCCAATCAGCGCATATTTTCTTGCGCTTCTCACTACAGGTCAAACTTGTGCGGCAAGACACAGCTTTCTGCAATGATGAGGTTTGAAGTTTGCGGCTGTTTACTTGTATTGCGACGAATCGTGAAACAGTCGTACTGGAAGCGTCCATAGAACTGAAGTCTTTTAAAACGCTGTACGGTTTACTTATATCACGATGAATCGTGAAATAGTTGTACTGGAAGCGTTCATATTTCAAAAGTTCTCCGAAACACACAAGCTCTTTTGCTCAACCAAATTGACGCGTTGGTGTACTCGGCAAGCTGGATTTGCCATGCGATAGTTTCCCCACCAAATATGAAACCTTGGACGGCTTGAGGTTTCAGCGTTGTTCTTCATAAAGCATGGAAGTGGGGATCTGAGAAGGGAATTCAAGCGACGTACTACTGGAATGCCGGGAGCAACTGTACGCTGCTCCCAAGATATGCGTATCTTTCAAGTTCAATAAGTCCATACATACTGAATGACCAGCCACAGAATAGTCAACATAGAATGAGCTTCCGTTGCCGATAGAACTTACTCGCGTCTCAAACTGTCAACCCTCTCTTACACCACTGAAATGGATGACTAACAGTTCAAAAATAGCAACTTCCACTGGATATTCAGATTGGCTACTCAGCTGCTCTAGCTACAAGTTCTAGCATCCCGTTGTCCCAAAAAGGAATGCTACTTAGATGATGCGTACTACTCGGTACATCACCAATCCGCACAAAAGAGAACACACAAGCTAAACTAAGCTAAACTAAGCTAAAGACAAAGGAAAGGGAAGATCATTGGTGAAGGTTGTTTATAGAAGTCGTTGGAGGTGGTTATTGAAAAAGGCGGATGTATAGGAAGGTGCTCGAAGTAGGTTGTCGAAGTAGGTGGTTGAAGTAGGTGGTTGAAGTAGGTGGTCGGAGTAGGTGGTCAAAAAGAAAGGTTGAAACTTGATAGAGTTCGTTGAATGCTGTTGTTAAAGGTGGTCGAAGAAGATATTTGAAGAAGGTTTTAAGAAAGCCAGGTTTGAGCCCTGCTTCAAGGGATGCTGTTCTTCTTCGGAGGTGAGATTAATACTCGTTAGAGAAGTTGTTATATCAAGGCTTGAATGTTTGATGGCGAGATTCGATTTGAGTTCAAAGCAGACGTAACGTTAAAGGAAGGTGTGACGTAGGGAGTTAGAACTTGAAGCAATGGTCAATCAAGGCCGTAATATTGAACACAGAATTGTTTACTAAGAGAAATGCAGCGTTGCCAATTGAATTGGACGGTCCCGACCTCGTGAGAGGCAGTTGATGTTGGCTGTCGCCGATCACGTGTGAGTAGCTAGTACACAAGAGCTGCGAGTCTTCGAACTCCAGTTAATTGTAGATTTTAAGGATACGGAATGAACCCTGTTCACTCCGCTCTTCAAGGCTCATGCATTACAGTTGAAATGTAATTTTGAGGAAAAGAACTGTGCAAAAGCCTTGAAAAGTCTTTAAAAGTTAATCGTGAAACTGTGTTGAGGCTCGCAGCAAGGTATGAATTATGGCTAGTAATAGAGAGATAGCAAGCAATGGAAGAATTGATTGCTGTCAAACCTACTCGAGTACTAAGAGGGTTCTTGAGGAAACACTCTCACGCTGAGAGTGGGGTTACTGACAGCGGGGCATGCGGGGTTAACTGTTTAATGTGTTGTTCATTCAGAAGTCCTTGAAAGGGTTTAGCGTAATGAGCTAAACCTGATTTATGGCTTTTCTTTCACGTGATTGCAGACTCCACGTGAACCTCTGGACAGGTCCACACAGCTGGTGGGGTTCCATAATGATATGGTGACGTCGGATGTCTTCTTATGAACTGGAAAAACACCTCGCTGCTTGAGTAGGCATGAGGACGGAAATTGAACTGTGAGATGAAGGTCAGTGACTGGATTGAGACGATCAAGAAATGGGATTTACGGTACCATAAAGTTAATGAGCATGCGTGCTTGACTGAAGAAGAAACATCGCAGAGACGGAAGACTCGAGTATGTTCTGCTAGACAATAGTTTTTGCGCCGATTGAAGTTTTTCCAAGGGGGCGCGTGCTGAAATGTGTAAAGACGCGATTGCCAGATGGAAGACAGTACCGTAAACAAATAAATTTTAGATGAAGATGGAGTATTGAAGATTGCGGGACAAAAGAAGCATCGTGCGTGATCGAAGAAGAGGCGCAGTGAAAGACTGCAGAATTGATTATACTCTACTCAGGCAGACGAGCATTGTTGCGGGGAATTGATGTGCTTGTTGAAGGTCGCGTCGACTGCGTTTTTTTTTTGTCGGTAACAAAACAGAAGTGCGTTTGTGGCAGATCTTACATCGCAGCGCCAAAGGCAATAAATGATGGACTTGTTGATAAAGAAGAGTGATCTGGAAGGCTTTTTATGAAAGGAACAGAGATATTGAAAACTCGAAGGTGGAGAAGTGGAATGCCAGCACGAAGAGATACCAAAGGCAGCCCGCCGTAGCTTTCCTGAACCAGATGTAGTGACTAGAGGGAGAATCAAGTGTGAATAAGGTATTGGAAATGGTGTTGAAAGTAGGGATTGAGTAGACTTGAAACTTGATGAGGAGGTGGTGGTTGTGGTGGTTTGAATTTTGATGGAGAGAGATGGGAAGATGGGAAGATGGCACAAGAAGCGGACGACCGAGCGGCTTCGGCTTTCGACATACCAAAGGATCTGAAGCAAGAGGTGAGAGTATCAGACGGGTACTCACCATACATGATCATGATCACTGCCTAGGTATTGAAGTAAAATATTCACCACGAGGATGAAAAGGAAGTGTGGAAAAGGATTAAAGTACAAGTTGTGGGTACGTCCTTGGACACAAAGTGAATTAATTGCTTCTAAATTGAAGTTTCTATGTGATTGAAATACTACACCACTGCATTTTGACACCTCACCTTTGGAGACGTCCTTCATGCCATCTTACTTCCCCCGCTTCGTCTCATTGTCGGCCGATCAATCCGGTCTCTTTCTGCCCTCTTAGTCCGTTTGAAGACGCCGATATGAGGCCGAACCCGAGATCATGGCGACATTCCCAACCACCGCAAGAAGTGAATAAAAAGGAGCATTGTGGTGAGGAGAAAATGGCAAACCTGTTTTCACGTAGAAACCTTCTTGGCGGATTCTTTCGTTCTTTCACTAGTTATTATTTCGAGCAGCCTGTCATCAATCTATTAAGTGGTGTCATTAAAATAACAGACCCTGTTCGTTCACTTTAAAACCTGTATAGATAATTCGATTGAGGAGGATATATATGGTCCCATGTGTTCGATGAGCCACGGGCTCAGAGTATTCAATTGCACAAGCGTTTCAACAATTGAAAGATGAAAACTGCAGAATCGATAAAGAAACTCCAATCTTGTAGTGTAAGAACATCAAGTATTGTGTTGCTACACGTTAGTCGTCATCGACCGAAATTCGCATACATCATCGCAAGGAGTGAAGCTCGTTTATCCTTTAAATCCCGTGGTCAGCTCTTTGCCAGTCGAAGTATTTACTACGTACATCAATGGATATATTCAATTACAAGAATACTGAACACTGAACGTCACTGGTGTCATGTTAAGCTTGGAGTAATTGCATCCATATGATCGGCAGACATATGGCACGTGACACTAGTCGTTTCACTCATAGCATCGAGAGACTCCAATGTTTCGCAAGCGATTCCAAATAGGCAATAATGAGACGCTCTTCAGGCACATGTGATTTAGATCCTATACTCGACAGGAGCATGGTGAGCTTTTGAGAAAAAATATGTTCCGGGAAACGGAACTGTGAAATTCACTTGCCCGGGAAAAAGCAATGATTTACCGTGAAGGACTTGAATGATCTAATGGCTGATAGCTATTGAAGAAATCTGATATCAGCTGCAGCTTGCAACATCTTCCTTCGACCTAGCTACTCATACACATGCATTGCCAGCTCTCCGGATCGGATCTCATGGCTAGACCGCTCGCATCAACCAAAAATCGCAATCAATGAATGATGAGGAGAAAATCCAATTTAGCTATCAATAAAAGCAAGACACTTGACATTCTGATGAATATTTAGAACACGAAAGTGTTGATTTAACTACTCTTTCCGGTCGTTTGTTCATCCATGCTATGCAACGTTAACAGATGAGGTTGAAATGTGGATGACAAAGCAAAGCATTCAACACCAAACTCCATTTGAATGGCAGGGTAATTCAGCGACAATGTCTACTGCATTTCACACTCTACCCTAAATGGCTGTGAGGTGCATTATTCAAATGGGTGGGTCTGGGGAAGACATTATATCCTTTCGTTATAAGAGCCGTCTTTGAATGAAGATACGTCTTATATATCACCTTGATGACCGCGCAAGTGCATACGGTTACGTCGGCCTTTAAACGCAGTAGTCACGCTTTCCACCACTTCCAAAGGTTTTGTACTGCAGGAGTTTGGCATCTAAGGTCCACACTTATCCTTTGACTCAATACTCTGATTTATGTGAGGAGCGAGCTTATGTGCGCTTGCACAGAGCAGAATACTCTTCCAAGATTTTAGACTTTCGGTAAATCTGGGGAATCCGTGGTGTTCTAGCGCATTTAGCTATGTCTTCATTGGGATTTAAACCCCTCTTTGTTATATA